CTGTTCTGCATCTCTGGTTCTCAAACATCCCTGCACACTGGAAGTCCATGGAGAGTTATTTTAAAACACTGAGGCCTGAGTTTGTTTCCTCCTTCCCAATCTCAATTCCACTTTAATTGTTCTGGCATGCAACCTGGGCAACAGGAGTCCTCAAAGCTCCCCAGGTAATTCTAATACGCAGCAAAATTTAAGAACCCACTGGTTTATATAGCTTGCTTTGTACTAAGTGTACCTTATATCTGGTATGGGTATTTATTGTTATCTTAGAATACATTCTATATTCCCAAACTTAAATATATTTTACATATCAGCTCTCTTTCCAAGGTAGTTTCTTACACAAAATATGCACTCAGTAAACATTTGCTGCTATTGCTGTTGCTGAAAATGGTGCTTTAATTGGTCTGTGGTGGGGCTTATGCATCAGAATTTTTGAAAAAGGGCCTCATGTGCTTCTCTTGTGCAGCCAAGGTTGAGAACCATTGGGTTGGCTCCTACGGTTCCAGCTGATGGTTGCTATGGAGAAATTTGGGTGGAGGAGTGTGAAATGTTCTGATTTTTTTTTTTTAAGAAGAACCTTAAATCTCGGATTTTTAAAATAAATGTTGACAACAATTCAGATTTAAAAAAAAAAAACACTATATGAACAAAATAAACCACATCTGCAGGCGGTATGTGCTGTGAGTGTGTGTGTGTGTGTGTATGCATGTGTGTGTATGTGCACTAAGGGACATAGGACATTCAGCTAGATTAAAGGTCACGCACTGGGGGATCCATAGCCTCCTAAGTATCTGATTATTATAAATGCCAACGCATTATCCATGAATAACCATTCTACCTTAAAAAAAAGAATCACTATATCATTTTTGTCAACATACAGTATACACAGCCCAAATCAGACAGAGATTGTGAAGTCCTGAAGCGTCATAGTCTGTGCCTCATTTCGTGTTCTGTGTAAATCCCGGGTGTGCCAATAGAAACCATGGAATGTGTGACAAGAAGAAGGGACGGGAGGCATTTGAGGTTTGGGAGGAGAAGCACCCTGCCATGAACTCTACCCACTGCCTGAGCACCATTCAGTGATGAAGCAAAGCCAAAGGAAGAAGATTGGTGAAGGGAAAAGCTAGAACAGGAAATAAAGGTGTGTAAGAGAAATAGCAGGGTCAGAAGAAATCAGTCCGGGTCTGATTTCTGCACCACTGGTGGCTCCTCGTGTCTGGACTCCTTTTCCTGGGCTTACTAAACAGGAGGGCCTCTAATGAAGCCATGACATGGTGCTTGAGCCACACAACCAATGAATGCTCCAACTGTTGTCCTTGCTGGTACCATGTACCTCCTGATTGGAGGCCCAATATCTAAAACCTACTGCTCACATTCTTGCATTTGTCTCAGGTGATAAAAGACACAGAGACAGCATCAACATCAAAGAAAATGATGATGATGATGATGATGATGATGATGATATTTCTGCTATTGATAATAAAGACAGTTATCACTCACCAAATCTTATGGTGGGCCGTGGGCTGTGCTAAACACATTCTGTGTTTTATCTTGTTTATTCTCAGTGCAATGGCCAACTGATTCTTATTTAAAAAAAGACAGATCTTGCTCTTCCCTTCTCAGACCCTTCAGTGGCTCCCACTGCACTCAGTGTAAGAAGTCAGCAAAGCTCTGTATCTACCAGCTACACAGGTTTCCTCCCTTTGCATTTTTCTCTCCGACCTTACCTCCCACTCTGCTCGCCTTCACTCAGTCCATCCCATCTAGCCTCAAGAACCTTCTGCTGTCCCTCCAATGTGAGCCTTTTCACGAGCTGTCCCCTAAGTAGGAAGCTCTTCTCCCAGATATGCTCTAAAGCCATTCCTGTTACCATCTCCTGAGGGTTTCTCACACCAACCTGTTTATAATTCCATCTCTCCATTCCCACACTCCCCTTCCTTCTTTTAGTCTCTCCATAGAATCAGCCTCTAATAGCCAATACTTTTCAGATGGATCATTAAAATCAGTCTCTTGACCACCAGACTGTGCTTCATGAAGGCAGGTGTTCTATTTTGTCCATTGCTGTAGGCCTCATGTCTAGACCAATGCCAGACACAGAGCTGGCCCCAGATAAGTATTTTTAGAATAAATGAATGAATGAATTTAATACTCAAAACTATCATAAAAGAGAGGAGCTATCATTATCTTGCTTTAAAAAATGCTGTGTATAAGTCGGAGAGATTCCATTCACCCAAGATTACAACGAACAGTTGCTAGAGAAGAGATATGAACCAGGGACCACCTGACATCAACACACAGCATCCATGAGCTACCTTGTTGCTATTTTAACACTTTGGGCCCTTTCTTGGAATATGATCAATGCAACAGTTAGAACTGGAAGTGGACCTATATTGGGTAGAGATGAGACCAGGACAAGTCCTGGGAACTGATGGGAAAATTCCAAGTTTTGGTTCCTCTGGTTAGAGGAATCCTTGATTTTTAAAGTAGTTAATGCCATTTCTCAGATGATCGTTTTTTGAGGAGATGGATCTTTGAATTATGATGGTGAGAAATAAATCGAGGGGTTAGCCAATAGTATTTTCTTGGGGGCAAATAAATCAAGGGCCAATTAGATCTTAGGTTGCGTAAGAATTTCATCCAGTGAGAATCAGCAGCAGAAATTTCAGGATCCAAAAACACCGTAGGAAATTACCACTACAAACATGTCCCCAGGACTCTTGAAGGCTTCTGCATGCAGCTCATTAACTCAGTTTTTAATGTTTCCAACACGCCCTCATCCAAGAATAAAGCAGATATAATTTAATTCATGCCAAACACAGGGTGCCTGAGCTGGGTGAGGGTGCCAAAAGCCTTGGGGCACTTGGTAAATATTAAGCAATCTACTTGCCCTGATCTTTCAGTGGGTCAAAGTGCTTAGTCCAGAAGACATTTATTTGTATGATGTTTAGTGAAACCAAAAAGCAAAGTTCAAGGAAAGGAAAATTAAAGTATTTTCTTTGGACAATTTTTTTCCAAACTATTTTTTGAAATTGAATTTTTTAAAAAAAGTACACACACAGGAAACATCTTTTGGTAAGTAGTGATGAGTTTAACGGACAAAGGATTTCTTAAGTCCTTCATATAATTTAAGGGCAAGAAATAAACTATTGACTTGACATTTTAAGTTCATTAATTTCAAATAACACATTTTGTAATTTTCAGAAAAATCACATGTGTACCTTTTACTAGTGTCAATGTCTAAACTTCAATGCTTAGAACAAAGAAATCAGAAAATTTGGCAGCATTTTGCCTTTTAATATCCATAAACACTCTTAAGCAGTTTGTAGTTATTTTCCATGTCATATTTAAGTCCTAATTGTATACTTTATTACTATGAATGGAGCCAGAGAAGTAACATGAGAATGTCTTGAATTGTTAACATTAATTTTCTGCTCAAGATTATATGAGTCAGTTCTGTACCACTGTAACAAAATCCCTGAGATAATTAATTTATGAAGAGAAAAGGTTTATGTTGACTCCCAATTTTGGAGGCTCTGGTCTATGATCATTTGACCCCTTTTGCTTTGGGATCTATGCAAGACAGTACTTTATGGCAGGGTTATGTAGCAGAACAAAGCCACTCACCTTATAGGGAGAAAAAAAGAGACAGGAAGGAGCAAGGGACCCACAATTCCCTTCAAGGGCATGCCCCCAATGACCTCCCACTAAGGCCAACCTCTTAAATGTTCCACCACTTCCCAATAGTATCCAGTAGTGCTACCTTGGAGACCAGTGCTTCAACACATGGAGCTCTAGGGGACATTGATCATCCAAACTATAGCAAATCTTACTGAAACAAAATAGATACTGGGTTTAGCTCTAAAGGTCTGGCTAAATGTTTATGTATTTATTGGCAAAAATTATATATTGGCTAACAAATATTTTCAAAGCATATGGTGATAGAAAATAAGAGAGAGAGAGAGAGAGAGAGAGAGAGAGAGAGAGAGAGAGAGAAAGACACACACACTTTGGAATTGGACAAAGAACATGAGTAATATGTAAACAGACACATCAGAAAAATCAGGTACAATGAAGAGTTTCCATCAATCATCTATCTGATATATTATTGGAGTGATACCTTGATAGTGTCAACCTAAAGTCAGATAATACAGTGGTTCAGGATGGAAGGAAATCCCACTTTACAAATGTCTTCTATGTGTCAGATTCTTCATGTTTTAGTAATAATAGCTAATATTCTGCAAGGTCTACAGTACAAAAATAATTACTCAAATTATTTCTAAACTTTACAATAATCTTATTAAGTAGGTATTGTTATCCTCATTTTACAGATGAGAAAACTGAGATTTGAAAAGAGTAAATAACTTGGTTGGCATCACCCTAGGTCGTAAGAGAATAAGAATTAAAACATAGGTCTGATTCCAGACCCCCAAATCATTCTGCCTCATCATCTGCCTGAAAAATAATTTGGGGTGACTTCTACTAGGGAAAGGGCTGATGATAGGGATCATATAAAAATTACAAAGATGAAAATAAATAAAAGATCAGCCTCTGCAACCTAGACCTTTTTGACGAATGATTGAGAAATGTAGATCTTGAGACACTCTATTTATAGGGATATTTCAATATTTAAAATAAGGATCTTTAAAATAAGTAAATATAAAGTACAGATGGTTATTTATTATATAGTATTTAAATGAATAAATAAATGTTTTAAAATTTTTAGTTTTTCTCTATAGAAATAAAAAAAATAAGTAAATTATATCCATTTCAATGAGATGAGATCTCATTAACATGTACATGTCTGTATATAAACATCTGGGTTTTCCATTCCAGAATGTGCATTAAAAAAGTCTTATTCACTCTTCTATCTTATCTCTAGATACATACAGAATATGCGGAAAAGGAGTTCCCATTGCCTTGCATGTTAGAGCTAAACTGCTTCATTTAAAAACATATTTCTAACCCCTATGTTTATAAGAAAAATCATGTGCCACATTTCTTACCATGGCTATTTTTTATCCAGGAGCATACTTTGCTGCCGCCTTCACCAGGAGTTACTTGAGAGAGTGCACTAGTTCAGCAAAGAGTCACTACTTCAAGTTCATCCCCATGAACTTGCAAGAGCTCAGGGGTGTGCAGGAGGGCAGAATCGGGCAGAGGGCAGGTTGGGCACTCCCTATGCCCATGTTTGCAAGCTGACAGACGGCAGAGAGGAAATGATTAATGCCATAGAGTCTCCAGCCAACTTTGTGTCACTGGAATTTATAAAAACAAATAAACTAGAGCTTTTCCATGGACTAGAACTGCTTAAATGACCTTAATAACATGGCTGCTTTATAAGGTCCTGGACAGATTAATCTCTGAAAACTTGGGCTATAGATAAGATTCTCTGTGAAGAGCAAATCCATTAACAGCTCATTTCTGTAAACTGGATCATTACTTTGGGAATCACAAAGAAACATGGCAACTGTAAACTGTAAATAAATGTTTTAAAATTCTGATAGTCTGTCCTTACGGAGGTTAAATAGTTAACCTCCGTAAGGACAGACTATCAGAAAAATTAATTTGATTTTCTTAAAAACTTTCATTTTGAAAGGTTTGAACTTTAAAAAGCAAAAAAAAAAAAAAAAAAAAAAAAAACATTGTATGATTGTAGAAGTCTCATCAAACAACATACTTAATACTTCTTAATCCTTTCTGTTTCCTTCCTTAGTGACGGCTTATTTTATATGTTTTTTAAAAACTTATGAGAAATACTAATTTATTTAGTTTTTTTCCTCCCATTGATCATCTCACTGTGTTGGCAAAGTAATATCAAAGAAACTTCAAGTACCTTTTGTCACATGTGGAAACTTTATAAAGAAGAAAAGGAAATAAAAAGTTCTAACAGGGATATTTTCGTTGGCTGAAAAACCTATGAAAGGTCCAATTGTTTACTTGGCTACTTCTAATAGTAATCAGTTGGTGCATATTTACATATTGAAACTTATTATTTTCATTTTCAGAAATTAAAAAGCAAAATGTGTCTGATCAGTACACCTAAAAATACAAGGGATGAAATATTATAAATTGGGACCAGTTTTGGAAAACTAGCCTACAGAGCCTCACTCTAATATAGACATTATCAACCAATGCAGAAACTAGTCCCCCAGAGACTTCCCCTACCAATTCCAGGTGTTGGCAGCAGAGGATACAAGTGATACAGGTCAGTGCCAATGTTAACAGTAAAACTATCAGCCATAGCTGACATAGATCCCATAGAACAAGAAATCCTAGTTGTAGCTATTTTCTTACCTGTTGGGAACCTGGACAGAATTACCAGCTCTAGCCTAGAGCAGGGTGAGTCCCGGGCAAGCCAGACACCATCTTCCACTTCACAGTTACTGCCATGGCAGCAATGGTAGGAGTGAATGGCCCAGACCCAGGACACATTCATGGTTCCTTTAATAAACATGTACTGTGTCACCGTTGCATGTCAGGGACAGAACTGGAGGCCAAGGATATAAGGTCGACTCAGATGGCAGGGTCCTCAAGTTCAGAGAACTTGCGTTTACTGGGGGTTAGTTTGTGAAAACATTCCACAGCAAGCAGAAGATATAAGGACAGAGTTCAAGGAAGCACTGAGTGGCGGGTGAGCATTCACACATGGGACAGGACCAGAGAAGTCAGAGTGGTGGTTAAACATTTGGTCAATTTAGAGGAAGGGATGAAAAATACTTTCAAGTATTAAACAAAGACAAATTACTCTTTAGGTTAGAAATTGTGGCCAGGGGAGGAAACCCTGTGGTCTTTGTCAACCATACTGGGACTAACAGGGATGTGAAATACACTTCCTTGGGCTTATTTCCTCAAAAGAGTACACACCAAAGTTCAGGCTTGGCATTTGTGGCTACTGTGTAGTCTAGTAGGCTGGCCATTGGGTTCTGGCCTCAGTTTGCCATTTGAGTCCTGCTCTACCACCTAGAGCTGAGAGACAGTAAACAAGTTGATGTTTTCTCATCTGTACTGGGAAAACCAGTACGTGTAGCATGTTTTGAAGATTTCCAGTTTTGTCAGGCAGTCTAGATACTCTAAAGGACTTTCCAAAAACAATCCGAGTAGGTTGCAGTAAGTAAAATGTTTGAAGAATGGCTGGGTGTGCAGGAAATCTCTAAGGGGTACAATGAACTACAATAAGAAGAAGGAGAGGTGAGTAAATAGGTAAGTTGCAATTGCCATAGGGGCCTACAGAGCCAAAGGCTGAACTAACACCGTATGAGAAGCCTTTGCCTGGGGCTCCATAGGAGGAGGAAGAGGTAAACACTAGTCTTACTTTAAGCCAAGATCCTTAAAGGGACAAGAAGAGCACAAAAACAGACAGATGGGTGTAGGGGGTCATAGATGTCTGAGTCCTGATATAAGATAAAAAATAAGGCTCAATACATAACACTGCTTTATTATTTATAGATGTTTTCCATATCTTACGTAATTTGATCCTCATGCAATTCCTGTAAGGGAAGTAAAAAAGCAGAATAGCTTTTATCTGCTCTGATGCAAAGTGTCGCTAATGTGAGCTACTAACCAAGGAGACTAGACACAGTGCTAAAACCTCACAGAAAGAGAGGACAGAAAGGTTGGAGAAAAAGTGAAATTGCTCTTTGGGGTGTCAGCACAGCACTGAACTGATCACTAAAGTGAAATAAGCTGTTCTGGTCTAGGTGTACCCTGTTTCCTTTCTTCCACGTACTTGTGCCCTTTGCCTTCCAGGTCAAGAAACCTGTGAGTCCACATGTTATTGACAGCCACCCTGAGTGTGCTGTCTGCCTGGTAGTGCCCAAGAAAACAGAAGATTCAACAGATGAATGGATAAAGAGAATGTGGTCTCTATTACGATGCAGTTTTAATCAGCCATTAAGAAGAATAAAATTATGGCATTTGCTGGTAAATGGATGAAACTGGAGAACCTCATACTAAATGAAATAAGCCAGATCCAGAAAGTTAAGGGTTGGATGTTTTCTCTGATAGGTGGAAGCTAGTTCAAAATAAGAGGGTAAAGAGACAGAGAGAGAAAAAGGAAAAAGTGGGTAGGATGCCATAAAAACAGAAGAAAGATTGGTGGGCTAGATGAAGGGGATTGAAGGGGAGAGATGAAGGATGGGATAAGGCCAGAAGAGTGGAATGAATCTGATCCAACTTTCCTATGTACATATTTGAATATACCACAGTGAATCTCACCATCCTGTACATCCACAAGACACTAATTAAAAACAAACAAACCCAGGAGAAAAATCATCAGAGTAGAGGGAAGGGGACAGGGGAGAAAAGGGGAAGTACCGGGGACTGAATTAGAGCAAATTATATTCCATGCCTTTACAATTACATCAATAAATCCTCGTGTTATAGATAACCAAAAAGAACCAATAGAAAGAAAAAAAATACTGAAAAAATCAACAATTAAAAAAAAAGAAAGAAAACAGAAGATTCTTGTACAACTCAACAATATACAAGCCCTTCCTCCTCCCATATTACCATCTCAGCCATCATCTAGACAGAGTCTACACATGTTCCAGGCTGGGAGTATAACTCAGAAATTCCCTCCTTTGACTATTTTGCATTTTTAGAAAGATCCTACTATTTTGTTCAATATTTTTTCCCTTTCATTTGGTGCACTACAGTTACACAAACTAGGGGGATTCTTTGTTTCCTATGTGTACATGCACACAAAATAACAGCTTCATTCAAGGGAAGTCTAGAGGGGATGGATGAGGTTATAAAGAGTGATTGTGTATCCGCTGTTGCATAGATAAGGCATTGTAAATGTCATGTAGGTATTACCTGAAACTCATCATAATTCTATAAACACATCTTATTTGTTTGTCTTGGAAGACAGATAAATGCCAATGCAGGAAAAAGGAGAAAAGGTGGAGACAGAGGACATTAACATCTTATTACTCCGGGAGACACAGGGTGACACTTTCCATGCTCCATCTGATTTAATCATCGGATTTAATTATCACAAGTCTGCCAGGCGCTGTGGCTTTTATTTTGCAAAAGAGGAAACAGAGTTTAAACCATGCATCCCAGGCTTTCTGCTTGTGAGTGGCAGAGCTGAAGTTTGAGATCAGGCCTATATGGGCTTCAAAGCAATTTTTATTGCATACATTGCTCCACAATAGGGAATTCTGCATTTTGGGAACAACTGCAGAAAGGAAAGATGAGAAGAAAATAGTGTAACCAACTTGCATTCCAACACCATAAGGAGTCTAGTCATTGGTCCTGCCTGACACTAGCTAAACATTCTACTCCCAGCTGAGTCACTTTTTAACATTCCCCTCCTCTCTACAACAACACTCTCAGCCTCCAACAAAAATCAACATGAAACAAATTTAAATATTTCACCCCTTCTCCACAGTGCACACTTTATTCCTGGTTGTCACATACTATGACAGAACTGAGATAATTCAAGATGCGTTTCTTTGACTGTGCCGTCCCAGGATGATCATCATTTACTTTGAATCTATTTAAGGGACCGAAACAGAGGCCAAGGGTTGGAGACACACACTGTACCCAAGGTACTGAATATTGTTCCAGAGCTTCTGGAACTAACTAGGGAAATTAACTCGCGTAGCCATGTCCCATGTGCTGGGGCTGACAACTGGGAGTTCTTCAAATTAACTTTTATGTGTATTTATGTTTATAGAAAGATAGGTAATAAAAGGTGCTAATTTGGAGCTAAAATGTATGTTATGAAACTCAAAAGTAACTGCAACAATCGCTTAGTACTTGGATCAATCCAATATCCTTTTCAGGGGGAGTATTTTATTACTCTGATGGTTTAGAACGGGGTGTGACGATAATAAAAAGTCGGTTAACAGTTTTGTTAGTTCTATAATTGTTTTACAATTCTCTTCAGACAATCCGGCCTCCTCCCTGTCCCCAGTGCCTGGGACGGACCATTCCTACTGTCTTGTTCCTTCATAGGCTGCTGCCCTGGAATCTTTATTTAGGAAAAAACAAAATATGGATAAGTCATCTTTCTGACATGGTCCATGACTTCACTTTCCTTGGGGTCCTCTTTGTGCTGTTTGAATACTGGCTTTATTGTGGTGTTGTCAAGATGATTGTGGCTGGGTGTGTGTGAGGTATGCAGGGTGAGTGTGCATGATGAGTAGGAGAAGAAGATTCTTCAGCATCAACTGTAGCTGAATGATGACCAGGGAGGTCATCATTCAGCTACAGGGAGGAACAAAGTTACACTATTCCAGACTGTTCTTTAACTAATCCCCACTAGGATTAGGGAAAGCCCCCTGATCCAACAACAGATAGTAAGAATGAATCATATCAGGTATACTGCGTGCTACTTTCTTGGACCCAAAGGCTCTCTAAGCTGCATGACTGTCTGACTTTGGCCTGGGCCACACTGGCTCCAGCTTTACCACAATGGTATCA